TGACAACACCAAGCCAAGGGTTGAGATCCCCTTACCGGTCATCTTTTTTAAAATAAATAAATAAACAAATATGCTAAGGAAATTGCTATAGGAAGTATGTGAAAAAAAAAAGTTTACTAAGGACAAGCTGTTTGTTGGTAAATTAACCTAGCTTTTTACAAATTATATTCTGGAATGTCACATTGTTAATTTACTGCTGTTACAAGTTTTACACTGCCTATTTTTATGTCCTTCTTTGATGATTGAATCAACTGATTTTTCTTGTGAAACTTCATTGTCTTGTCAATAAAAAGAAAGGCTGGTTTTGGATCAGGGCTGCTCCCCTGATGGGCGGCAGTCCCTCCAGGGGCTGCTGCTCCCCTGATGGGTGGCAGTCCCTCCAGGCCTTATTGATGATACTTTGAGTGAATTCTTTCTTTCTCTTTTTTCCATCTCAGTTACACAGACCTCCAAGTGCTTTCTCCCCAAGGGTCATTGACAAGGTCTAGCATGAAGAAGTGGACTTAGGTCCTCTAAAAGGCTGCAATCTGGGCTCTCAAGTCACTTTCACCAGTGACCGTCCACCACTGAGGACTGGAGCAGAGGGTTCAGGATGGCAAAAATCTCTAAGTCATAAGTAAAGAAGAGGTAGGTCTCTCACCCCATTCCCCACTTGGTCTCTAAATCCAGTCCTTACTCCCCGTCACCCCATGTCTCTCATGAGCAGAACATATTCCCTCTTAATTTAGCTGATGTTTACAAAGAAACAAAGGGAAAATGTGAGATTTATTGACTTCTACTTGCATATCTTCAAGGCCTAGCACTGGTAGGTCCAACAACTATTTGCTAAATAAATGAATAGACCTTCCATATATGCAAAAATAGGAAGCTTTTGATTCTCTTCCCTCTTGTTTACAGGATAGACTTGAAATATCTTAGCAAGGTACATGAGATTTTTCACAATTTTTTTTTTTAAGATGACCGGTGAAGGGATCTTAACCCTTGACTTGGTGTTGTCAGCACCACGCTCACCCAGTGAGCTAACTGGCCATCCCTATATAGGATCCGAACCCGTTGCCTTGGTGTTATCAGCACCACAGTCTCCCAAGGGGACCATGGGCCAGCCCAGATTTTTCACAATTTTGGCCTCAAAACTTTTTCTTTTTAAAAATTTTTAAATTTTTCTCACAGCTGGCCCGTACAGGGATCTGAACCATTGACCTTGCTGTTATGATACCACCCTCTAACCAACTGGGCTACCCGGCAATTCCCCCCACCCCTTTTTTTGTTTGTTTTTCTTTTGTTTTTTGCTTTGGGTGGCTGGCTGGTAAGGGGATCCAAACCCTTGACCTTGGTGTTACAAGGTGGTACTCTAACCAACTGAGCTAACTAACCAGCCCCTCAAAATTTTCTTATTCTAAAATATCTTCAGTTTAGCTACAGATATCCAAGAGCTGCTTATCTGCATGTAGACCTTAATCCTTTCCTAATCTTTGCTTTATCTCAAATTCAATGTCAATTAGCATTTAGTGAGCACTTCCTGTACACCAGGTGCTGTGCCATCCATTATCATGTTTAGCTGTCACAGAAAGCCTGTGAGGTATGTATCATTCTCTCTTTAAAGATGAAGGCTCAGAGAGAGACATGCCCAAAGTTACACAGGTATTAAGTGACAACCAGACTTTGAACCCATCTCCTGTCCCAAGCCCACTACTCTCTACTATACCATGGACCTTCAGCTTTGTACAGGGACTATGGGAAAGTTGATGACCCTAGAGGAGTCTGGAATGATCCCACTCAAGATCCCCTTATTAGGTACCTTTGGAGACTCTGATCAAGGGTAGAGTGTCACCATCTTGTACTATTTGATCCTTCTGTCCTGCCCCCAGAGATGTGCTAAAAGGAGGCCGAGGCTACATGGGAAGAGGCTGAGCACGACCTCGGAGAGCAGGACTGGACCCTGGCCCAGCTTCAGGTCCATGTGGCAGACATGGAGGCCAAGTACGAGGAAATCTTGCATGTAAGCACCACCCTGTGGAGCCCAGCTGCCCCCAGCAGCCAGCATTCCTCCCTCCCCACACAACCCAGCCAGTGTGATGACTGACAACCCAGGGATAAGGAGAAGCAGCATCTCTGAGGGATCCCTGCTCTATCCTAAGGGCAGACAGAGAGGATACAATCATGCCTACCCACTCAGAATAAGAATTTTAAGAAAACACTGGCAAGGAAATCTTATAAGCCAACCTGGGGCATCCCTTACTCCTGCCCTCTCTCTTCCTGGGGACTGAACGCTTGTCCTGGTGTCTGCAGGACAGCCTGGACCAGCTCTTGGCCAAGCTGAGAGCTGTCAAGCCTCAGTGGGAAGGGGCTGTGCTGAAACTCCATGCCAGGCACAAGGAGCAACTGCACCAGTTGGGACTCAACCCCCTGGATCTTTGAAGGCTGCCAACCTCTAGTCTCTGGGGCTCTCTGAGGCCCCAGCAATAAAGCATCTTGATGTAGAACTCAACAGAGCAGCTGGCAGAGAGGAGTGGCTTTCATGGGGACATCTTGGTTCTGTGTTGACCCATTACTCCAAAGCTGAGTGATAGAAGAGAAATGTGACAAGGTCTCAACCCCTCTCCTACAGAAACTGGTCCCACCTCTTAAGCCTGGGGCCCTTTTGGCCCCTCTAAACTACTACCCCATACCCCTATCAACACACACACAGGTAGCCAGATATGGGAAAAGGCCATTTCTAAATTTCTTTCTTTATTTATTTGGGGGGCTGGCTGGTATGGGGATCAAAACCCTTGACCTTGGTGTTATAACACTGTACTCTAACCAACTGAGCTAACCAGCAAGCCCTATAGGAAAAGGCCATTTCTACAACAGACACAACAGTGACCGGGCAGGAGCCCCTATAATCCTAAGGTGCCCAGAAAGGGAGGGTGTAGTTGGTCTCCAAATTCTTGTATTACACCAAGGGTCCTGGAGTCATACCTAGGGCAAATTCCAGATGGCTTCAATCCTAGCCAGCCCCACAGCCCACCCTTCTCAATCAGAACTTCATCCTTGGGCACAGCTCTCCAAAGCTTCCATGTGACATCATCTGGAGCCTCAGGCTCCATCCTCAAGGTGCTACCTGAGGCCTCTGACTACACCCTTTTCTGGGAGGTGGGCCCATGGGAAGGGAGGGAGCCATTGGGCAATCCTGTGATTGGCGGTGACTTAGAACTCTGGCTTCTGGCTTAGAGAGGGCATCCCTGCTCCCACCACCATAGGCTGGACAGTGAAGACAGGAAAGCCTCTGGGTAGATTTGTGCCATCTGGGGCACTCTACAGCGGATCTGAGGCCAGAGGCCAATCCTATGCAGAGAGGAGGGAGAAGGTCATTCCAGGACCAGAAGAGTTCCTTTTCCCTGCCCCCACCTGCACTGGAATGCACAAGAATGGGACTTGTTCCATGGGTCCTTCTGTCCCCACCTACCATAACTTAAAAGTCACAACCTGCACACCCCTACTGCTTCACCCTGCAATCCTCCCACTCTGCCCTCCTTTCTGACTCCCCTCTGCCCTTCTCTGACTGCTCACTGTCCCTTCTGTCTCTTCTTCCTCACCTCTGCAGACCCTGGAGGAATCCAGGCTTCCAAACCCTGCTGAGACCTGGCTGCCAGCTTAAGGCAGATGGGTGGCTCAGACTCAGCCAGCTGCTGAAGCCTTTCCAGGTCATTCTGTCCATCCACAGGATACCCATTCACCTCCAGAATCACATCTCCCATTTGCAGCCCTGCCTGGGCAGCTGAGCTTCCTGGAGTCACCTGGCAGTGTAGTGGGGATAGAACATGGAAAACCATGGAAAAGTTTGCTAGGCACTCTAAGGCTGGGCTGGGGTGGGCAGGGGTTGGGGGAAGGAGCAGAAGATTGATCAGGAGGCAAATGATCAAAAGGATCCAAGGTCCATAGGACATCAGTCACCTGGGAGATGAAGAGACGAGGCACACAGGCCACACAGCTGAGTCGGAAGCCATAGGCACCACCAGGCCCAGGGTACAGGAAACACTGGCGGGAGCCAGGAGCGACCGGAGGTACAGCTGTGTTGTCAGCTGGTGGGTCCTTGGTCTCAACCAGAGAGGCTGAGCTCATGTCCTGGGGAGAAGCAGCAGCCTCTGTGCTCTCCATGAAGAGGAGTGGGGACAGGCGAAGCTGGAGGAGGCAGATGGGCCAAGCCTGTTGTACCAGAGCCCTGCTCCACTTCTCCTCCTGCCCCCACCCTAGCCCCCGGCCCTCAGTACGCACCATGCTGAAGAAGCGGTCAGCCTCAGGGTCGATGACAATGAGGGAGACACTAGAGCCCTGCGCCCGGATCCTGGACACTGTCTCCTCGTGGCCCAGCCCCTCCACGCTCTCCCCAGCCACAGCCACCAGCCGGTCCCCAACCTGCATCCCAGCCTTCTCGGCTGGCGTTCCCGGGTCCACCTCCCGCAGAAACTGCCCTGGGACATAGACATCCTCACTGCTCCTTCCCAGCTACAAGAGGGACTGACCCAGGGGGTATACAAGAGAAGAAGGCTCAGGGCTGGGACTTGGACAGGGACACTTCTTATGTGCACTGCGAGGTATATTTATACACTTGTGTGCCCACCGCAAGGCCCACCTTCCCTACCCACCCCCGAGGGTTTCCACTCACCAGAGTGACCGTCAAGGCCCTTCTCCTCCCGCAGCAGGAACCCAAATCCCTGGGGCCCTTTCTCTAGGTGCAAACAGCGGGGCTTGGCAGGCAGTGCCCAGCCCTCTGCCAGGGGTGCAGCCAGGGGCATTCCCAGCTGGCGACACTGTTCCTCCACCTCTGGCCCTGCCACCAGCAGGGTCACCTGCTTTCCACTCTGCCAAAGCTGTGGGGACCCAGCAGGGCACCAGCATCAATCACCTGGGCAGGGAGGGAAGAGGCAGGCACCTCCTCACAGCCCCTCCTCCCAGGCACAGGGATGAGGCATTAAGGGAGGGCCTGGCACAAACTGCAGAGGGAAGGATCATGCAAGACAGAGATCAGATCGGGAGATCAGGTGCATGGGGAGGAGTCTGCCTCCCGAGTTGGAGCCCCAGGCCCAACCCAGATGGGTGGAGGATGAGTGGGGCAACAGGCAGCCATACCTTCCTGCTGAGTTGGTTATGAGTGAACTTCTCCACACTGACCCCATTCACTTCGAGCAGCCGGGCCCCAGGAGGCACCCCTGCCCGCTCAGCTGCTCCCCCAGTACTTAGCACCAACCAGAAGGGACCCTGATCTCCTGGGAGAAACAAAAAACAAAAAAAACATTTCCAGGGGCCGGCCCGGTGGCGCACTGCGCTAGTGCGCCGCTTGGGAAGCGCGGTTGCGCTCCCGCTGAGGGTTCGGATCCCACGTACGGACCGGCTCCCGCTCGCTGGCTGAGCGAGGCGTGGGAGCAACGCCGAGGCTTGCGATCCCGTCGCCGGTCCCCGGTCCGGTACGGGGGCGACACTGAGGGTTGCGATCCGTTGCCAGGAGGCACCCCTGCCCGCTCAGCTGCTCCCCCAGTACTTAGCACCAACCAGAAGGGACCCGGATCTCCTGGGAGAAACAAAAAACAAAAAAAACATTTCCAGGGGCCGGCCCGGTGGCGCACTGCGCTAGTGCGCCGCTTGGGAAGCGCGGTTGCGCTCCCGCTGAGGGTTCGGATCCCACGTACGGACCGGCTCCCGCTCGCTGGCTGAGCGAGGCGTGGGAGCAACGCCGAGGCTTGCGATCCCGTCGCCGGTCCCCGGTCCGGTACGGGGGCGACACTGAGGGTTGCGATCCGTTGCCAGGAGGCACCCCTGCCCGCTCAGCTGCTCCCCCAGTACTTAGCACCAACCAGAAGGGACCCGGATCTCCTGGGAGAAACAAAAAACAAAAAAAACATTTCCAGGGGCCGGCCCGGTGGCGCACTGCGCTAGTGCGCCGCTTGGGAAGCGCGGTTGCGCTCCCGCTGAGGGTTCGGATCCCACGTACGGACCGGCTCCCGCTCGCTGGCTGAGCGAGGCGTGGGAGCAACGCCGAGGCTTGCGATCCCGTCGCCGGTCCCCGGTCCGGTACGGGGGCGACACTGAGGGTTGCGATCCGTTGCCAGGAGGCACCCCTGCCCGCTCAGCTGCTCCCCCAGTACTTAGCATCAACCAGAAGGGACCCTGATCTCCTGGGAGAAACAAAAAACAAAAAAAACATTTCCAGTCTGCTGCCTGCCCAGATCAGGGATGGAGATCTCCCCTCCTGCCCACCCCCTCCCACCCTCTAAGCTCACCATGGGTGACAGTGAAGCCAAAGCCACCCTCATCTTTCACTATGTGGCACAGCCGGGGCCGGACCCCAGGGCCTAGGGTAGGACAGAGATGGGCATGGTTCCCATGCAGAGCTCGGGCCACATCATGCACATGCCATGCCAAGACTGTCAGCAACACCCGAGGACTGCTGGCCCGGATGCGGCGTACCACCTAAACAGAGGGCATGTCGGGGGAGGTTCGGGCTGGTCCCTCTTGCCAACTCCCAGGATCTCCCTGGAACATGCATTTTTCAGCATGGGAACCAGCCCTCTAGATGCCTTCATGCAACTTTTCTGATCTGAGCATTTCTAAATCACGGGGTGTGGGGGAGTGAGGTTTGGGCCCTGCTGCCATAGTGCCCAGGGAGGTGACTGACTGGTTCCTCTCCCGGAGGTGCTGTGGAATGCTCTTCTGTACCACAGGGAGTACCAACCCAACCTCACCGTCATATAGTCTTCGTGTTCCACAACATCGTTGTTCACCGCCAGGATCCGGTCTCCTTCCTGGAGGCCCTGGCGCTGGGCAGAAGTGCCTGGATCCACCCTGCACACCACATGCCCGGCCCTGCCTGGCTCCTGCTGTAGGTGGAAGCCAAAACTCCTGCCTTCCTCTTTGCTCAGCAGACAGAAGCGAGGCCGCTGCAGGCTCCAGGGATCTGGAGGTGGGAGGTAAGCAGCAGAAAAGGGGAGGAGAGGGGGCACAGCCCAAGTACAGGTCCACTGTGTGCCTGGCACTGGGTGGGCTTCCATTCGGTTATTGTTGGACTGGGTCCGAATACTGCGTGGGCAAAGTGGCCAGGACAAAAGGAAACACCTGGCCTTCTCCAACCTCCACACAGTTACACCGTTATCGGAGGGAGACAGAGTGAGTGGTTACCAAGGAGATGGGAGGCTGTGCAGAACTGTGGTGTCTCTAGGGAGAGAGAATCGTTGCCAGGGGACGAGGGGGTTACCAGAGAGGTCGTGGTCTTCAGCCAGGGAAAGGACAGGATTATCAATGCCCAGCTTCGGGTTAAACCGAAACTTCCTGCAAGGAGGCAGGGGAAGCAGATAGAAGCTGGCAGCTGGACTTAGGTCCCAGGCTCTACTTTGGGTGCTAATGGCAGATGGAGAGCTTCCCCACCTTCAGTTCCTTCCTCCTCTTACCCCAACCCTCATAGTACTTACAGAGTTACCAAGGCTGCATCCTGAAGATCTACTGAGCAAAGAAGTGGGTGAGAGGAGGAGAGGCACATTCTCCCCTACTTCCCCCACCACCCCACCACGCCTCTCCCATTGTCATAAACTGAAAGGACTTATGGGAACCCCCAAACTCAGGACTTGCCCCCTCCATTCTGCTCTGAAAGGGTCTCCCGTTCTCACTGACATCATACACACAGGGATATCGTGTGTTCCCCTCCCCCCAAACCCTTGGCACATAAATCTGAGCGTATCAGTACAGGGTGTGGACCAGGAAGACTTATCGACTGAACTCTTTCTTCCTAACTTCTAATTTGCCTTTGCCTTAGGACTCCAAGTCCTAAGTGTGCCCTGGTCCCAAAGCCTCAGCCTCCAAATTTTCCCCCTGATTGCCCCAAAGTCCCCGTCCAGAGGATTCCTTCCAGCTTCTTACCTGCAACTGCCTCCATAGTTGGATCAGCAACCCAGTCCTCTGAGTAGGGCCAAGGTCCATCGTAACCAGCTGACCCTCCCACCTACCCTCTCCCAAGTCCCGCCTCCTTGAAGACGCTGTGTGGAAGGAGTGGGGTAATGGTTAACAGGAAGGAGAGTCTTATCCTCTGGAGAAGTGTGCGTGCTCCTCCTATCCCCATTCCCAGCTGCCAACTTTCTCTGGAGACCCTGCAGCTTACTCAGTTGCCCCTCTGCACAGAGAAAGACGGATTGCTGGTCACTGTAATCCCAAGCCTGGGAGTAAGTGTGAAAAGGCCAATAAGAGTTATTTGTCCCAGCATGGCCAACCCCCATCCCAATATTTTGTTCACGGTCCCTCCAGAAACCACTGCCTCTGAACCTAGCACCCAAGAACCACTTCCAACAGAAAGTGGTCAGGAGCTTAATCAGAATGGCCAAGAATAGTGCCCTTTCTTGGGAGCAACAGGCGAGGAAGAGGAGGCCACAGTAGGTGAGTGGAAGACACATAGCTTTTTAATAGCAACAAGTCAGATGCACCTGACACTAGCGGCTAAGAAGCCATTGGTACCATTGTGGTAAAAGGGCATGAGGGCAAGGAGAAAGCACCAACGTGAGGGCATCTCCAGTGTCCATAGGTGAGCAGAAGGCAGAAGGAGGAGGCCCTCCAATGCATCTTCTGATGGCAACACCTCAGCATAGCAGACATAAGTGTGACCCCTGGTGGTACAATCAGAGGGATATGCTTGATTGTTTTTTGGGGTTTTTTTGGTGGCTGGCCAGTAAGGGGATCCAAACCTGTGACAGAGGCTCCTTGAGAGCAAGGTTATGGTGGTGCTATAGGAGGCATGTTCCATCTCCAAGCCCAGAGCATGAATTCACCATCTTTGATCCTGGAAATTCCAGACTTGGGGGCACTGGTTGAACATGCCCCAGGAGGGAAACTGGCACAGCTATGCCTATTCCTTTGCCTCCAGTCCTGAAGAGATCTTTCTAAAAGGAGTAGTGCAGGCCAGCAGACCACAGAGGCAAGGGGTTTGGGGCCAGTGTCACTGTCTCAGCTTCCAGGGCCTCCCAACTGCTGTAGTAGAGCCCTGACCTCACCCTCAACTCGCAACAGCTGAGCTTTGCGCCAAGGATTAAGGGTGGCACCCCGGTTATCTTCCAGATCTCGCAGCAGTAGTTCAAGGTGGCGCCGGACCCGGGCCTGATCCCAGCTGTTGAGGTTCCGCTGGACTTCACTGAGGATCACCGACCAGTACTCAGACACTGCTGCCCCCTCTGTCAGCGACGCCACGACCCTGGCACCACCTTCAGTAGTGCTTCCCAAGTCCCGCAGGACCTGGCGGCCCTCTGAACTCAGCTCATTGAAGTAGAGACTAGCGAGAGAGAGAAAAGCAGATGCCATTCAGCAGGGCTCTGAGAAGGAGGCCTGAGGGTGGATGGACAGAAAGTCAGGAGGCCTGACACTTATCTCTCAGCTGCAGAATGTGAAGGGGCAGGTGTCTGCAATAAGCCAGTGAGGGGGGGTGGTAGCCAGTGGGAGGCAGGGACTGACACTAGAATGCAATGGGACCAGGGACAGTAGGAACAGGGCCACCAGGTCCCCAGGAGAAGTGGTGGTAGGGAATCAGGCCAGGGTCAAGGCCAGTCACAGAGGGGGTGGGTTAGCTCAGAACTGAGTTGACAAGGATCAGTCAGAAGCCAGGAATAGAGGACAGGCACCAGGCCCAGGCCCAGAAGTGCTCCCTAGGGTAGGAAGAGCACAGTAGAGAGAGGGAAGGAGGATGGAAGGGCTGGGGACCATGGGACCAGGGACAGGACTCACTGTAGCAGCTCCAAGGAAGGGTGCTCCCGGGCAGCCTTGGCTAGGGCCAGGGCTGCTTGGTCACCAGCACCGTTGTAGGCCACGTTCAGCTCCTGCAGCTGCCGGTTGCGGTCCAGCTGGGCAGCCAGCAGCTCCAGGCCCTCATCCCCAAGGCCCGTGTGCAACAGGGACAGGTGTGTCAGCGAGGTGTTTCCTGCCAGTCCCTCCACCAGCAGGGCGACACCTGCTGCTGTTAGCGGGTTGTTAGACAGCCTACGGCCACAAACACACTGAGGTTATGAGGGCTGGTTGCAGATGCTCTGTGCTGGGCATTAGGACTTGGGTCAAAGGGGCCACAGCCTGGGGCACAGCGGAGCCTGGACACAGAAAAGCAGGCCCAGGAGAAGAGGACAGAGAAATGGGGTGTGGCACCCTGCAGTGGAGGAAGAGTCCAGAGGAAGCTGGCTTCTGTCCCCTTCGCCCTCTTTTCATTCTCCTTTTCACCCCGACTCCTTTCTACCCTCTCCCCTTCCTCTTCTTCCCCTTTTTTCACCTCCTCCCCAGCCTCTGCTTCTTCTTCCCTCTGGGTCCCCGATCCTTCTCCCCCTTCTTCCTTTCTCCCTCCTCATTCACCTTCCCTTACTCCAACCAGAAACTGAGCACCCAGGCATCTGGGTTCCTAGTAAATCAGCCAGCACTTTGGGAGCATCTACTGAGTGCCCAGCATTAAGGTCATCCTTGCGAGGCTGCAGGAAAATCCTGGGAGGGGATCAGTGGCACTGTTACCAGGCAACCAGCCTAGGTATTATTCCTCCTTCTCCTCCCACCTGTCCCAGGCTGATTTTAGCCACATGAGGCTTTCTTAGCACCTATTGCTGGTGGCATCTTTCCCCCTGTCCTGCTGCTTGTAATGTATCTGGGAGGGTGGGCCTAGACTCCCACCCTTTTTACTACCATGGGTTGGCATAGGATGGATATATTGTGAGGCAGGGGAGCTCGCCCTTGACCTTAGCTGGCCACCAGGATGGCCATGGCCTCCCTCCAGCCCCTTCCCAGGGTGCTCACCGCAGGGTGGTAATTTGGCACTGGTCATGTAGCAGCAGGTCTCGCAGGTCCCTGCAGGCCTCAGGACCCAGGCTGTTGAGTTGCAGGCTGGAGCAGAAGGGGGCCAGAGGGGAGGTGAGAGACGAAGGAAGGAGTCAGCATGGAGTCTGCCCATCTACCATGCCCTTTTCTCAGCAGCCTGCTCCTGCAATCCGTACCTGCCCTCCCTTCCGCTGTTGCTTCTGTTACCTCCACCCACACCATACTTCATCATCCCACCCTGGGTCCTTCCTCAGTACCTCAGGCTTCTCTAGCACCTTCTCTCCCCACCTCTTCACCTCCAACCCTCTCCTCTCTTCACGCCTGTGCATGAGGACAGGTCCTCACCCCAGCTTCCGGGCACGCAGGAAGACGGGCATGAGTGTGCGCAGTCCAGCAGAGTCCAGCTGGCAGGAAGCCAAGTTCACCTCATCTAGGGCATGCCTTCCGCTGCCCAGTACAGCTGTCACCACTGTACACTTGAGGGGTGTCATGCGCACACCTGCCAGGTTGAGCTGGCGCAGGGAGCTGAGCACTTCAGCAGAGAAGCGCTGGTTCTGGAACTCATAGTGGAAGAAGAGATGGTCAAGGAGCTCCGACGGGGGCAGCACCTGCCGGCCAAGCTTGCCCAACTTCTTCTTGATGGCCTGGGCATTCTCCAGGGCATCCAGGTTCTTGATGGGGCAGCCAAGCTGAGCCAGCACAGCCCGGTTGTGGGCAGATAGGAGCCCCCCCATGAACATGGGAAAGAGCTCAAAGACTTCATCCTCTGGGGGATCATCTGGGTGGCGCCGGGGGCCCTCCACGCCCAGGATGCTGGCGCCCATCTGGTCCAGAACATCGTCATTGTAGTAGTCCTCCTCTCGGAACATCTCCAGCACCATGGCCTGGGCTACGGCCTCCCGGCTCTTACCGACCACACGCCCAAATACTCGTGGAACCACCTGAGAAAGCAGCAGAGAGGGTCACTGCAGCCTCCCGTGTGCCTGTTTGGCCTTCAAAGCTGAGCTTAAGGTACACCCCCTGACTGCTCCAGCTCGTGATCTCCCTTTGAACTTGCAGCACAATTTGTCTGATCACACTGCTCCCCTGCTGCAACACCTTCCATGGCTCCCCACAGCCCATCTGGCAAACTCCAAACATTTAGCCTGAAATATGACATTTTTTATAATCTGGCCCCAATTTGACCTTTCCACGGTCATCTCTCAACACTTGTCTCATGTATTCCAGACATTAGAAACTTTTTCCCAAACATCCCATACATTTTCAAGCCCAGGACATGATGGGATGGAATAAGCATATATTACGCACTTAGTTTGAGGCCAGGCTACGTATTACGAACACATCACTATCTTTGACATCATCAGTCATTACGCTGACTACAATTGAGCTTGCTCCTACTCCTTCAAGGCCCTGCATGATTTGTGCCTTCATCACAAGCCTCTCTAGCTCTCTTGGTTAGAGCATGATGTTTGTAACACCAAGGTCAAGGGTTCAGATTCCCATACCAGCCAGCAGCCAAAAACCAAAAAACAAGTCTCTTATCCCCACTCACTATGCTCCTGTCCTTTCCGCTGTTCTTATCTTCTTGACAGTGCCAAGGTTTCTCCTCCTTCAAAGCCTCCACAATGCTGCCTCTTCCTGGGTTGCCCCCCTGAATTGTTCTCTTGGCTAATACTACAGGGATCAGATTAAATGCCCTCCCAGAAAGGCCTTCCTGACCCCCCCAAACCAGCTTCCCCCAGTATACACTTTCATAGCCCCTAGAACTTTTCTCTCCAGGCATTTACCATAATTTTTCATTACATAATTTTGGGGGGGGGGAGTATTTTTGACGGCTGGCCAGTATGGGGAACTGAACCCTTGACCTCGGTGTTACCAACACTGTGCTCTAATCAACTGAGCTAACCAGCTGGCCCTCATTATATAGTTATGTTGACATTTTTGTATTCAGACTGTAATATCAGAAAGGGCAGAAATCTACGGTTTTGTTAACTGATTTTTTTTTTTTTTTTTTT